ACGAGCCTGAATAGCTCAGTGGTAACGTCTTTGACTGCACCACTCACTCGGTGACGCAGGTTCGAATCTCAGAAGGCGGAAAATACGACCGATAATGTACTATTATTATAACTTTTACAATATAACATTTCAAGTTGAAAGTTATGCAACAACAACTCTCAGTGATAGAAAATCAAGTACCTAGGCCATTGTAAGTTTCAAAAGCTTCTTTCTGACTTCTAATGAAGGAAGCAAACGAATACAATGTATGATCCTTTATTATCCACTATTAGACTAAATGGATGGATAGGTATATTAGACATGAATTTAGCTGCAACTCAGCAATCATTTGTAAATCCACTGTGGTAAGTGATACCTAACTGCGCTAGTTTTGACTGGACACTAGTCAGTAACTAGTGTAATCTATCTAGTCCTCCTATCTTTGGTGCAGACTGAATACTATTAGTCAAGTTCACAATGTGGCCACTAAGCCACTAGGTGGCTTGCCATCCCAATGCTTTAGAGGCTGAGGGGGGTGTGTGGACGTTCACGGACAGTACGCAAGATCTAATACCTACAACTTCTATAGTATTCGTTCCACGAGAACCGAAGTCTGTCTGTCTGTTTTCGACATAGAACTTTGCACAAATGTGCGGCAGTTCAAGTCGCCACACTCCGTGTAGCACGCGAAGCAAGAGAAGAAAGTACAAGTAAAGCATAATAGAGACAGTGAGCAGAGGTGTGAGACAAAGGAGTAATAACGAAGGACAAAACAATTTCATTGGAGATCATAAGTCACAAGGAGTGGATGCATCTGCGCCACTGAGAACGATTTTGAGCCATATCACCAATTGTTTCCAACCATAGATTTTTACCGTCCCGAGGACCCTAGCCTGGAAGTCTACACCTTCCTACGTGGCTTAGACCAACTGTTGTGGATTTCATTGACTGATGCCAAGTTTTTGTTTGATCACCGCTAGCTTTTCTCCAGCCTGACCCTATATCCGCTAACATTGCTCGTCGAGGGAGGCGATGACTAGACATACGTAACACATGTCCTAACCATCTCAGTCTTTGTAGCTTCACGACTTCGTCGATTGATTTCCCCTGTTTACCTAGAACTCTACGCCTAACCTCAATGTTGCTCACCTTATTATGCCACTTTACACGGGAAATAGAACGCAGGCACCTATGATCAAAGACAGCTAGTCTTTTCATGTCTTCCACTCTCAGTGGCCAGGTCTCACAGTCAGCCATAAAGGAGGACGGAGCGGACTGATGAGCAGTACACCCGCCCTTTGGTCGATAGTCGAATATCTCGTCTACGCCAGAGACGGTGTAAACTGGCAAATGCGAAACGTGCCCCCTGTATTCGTGTTGAGATTTCGTCAGAGATCAACCCGTCGGCACTGGCTGATGGTACTTCCCAAGTAAGTGAAGCGGTCAATGTGCTCAACCACTTCACTTCCTATTTTTAAACTAGGCGTCGATGTAGTCCAGTCCTGTAACATCATCTTGCATTTGGCGGGAGCGAATCGCATACCAAACATTCGTAGATTGCGGCTCAAGGTGTTTAGAAGACTCTGCATTTTGTCAGAGTCGTCGCCTAGGAGGACAATATTGTCTGCATATTCTAAGTCAACGAGATTATTCCCTGGTAGCAAGTCAATCCCTGAGTCGCTGATGTCACTTAGGGTTAATTCCATTAGTACATCTATGATGAAGTTGAATAGAAAAGGGGATAATGGACATCCTTGACGGACACCACTAGTCGTCACCAGTTGAGATGACAACTCGCCGTAAGCCCTCACCTGGCTGTATGAGTACGAGTAGAGTGCCTTAATCAGTGCAATATATTTTCTCGTCATTCCCTTTATAGCTAAGCATCTCCAGAGAACCTCCCGGTCGACAGAATCGAACGCCGCCTTTAGGTCAAGAAATATAATGATCCCGGTGGGTGCGTACTGCTGAAGAGTCTCAAACTAGAACGAAACAGCTGTCCAGTACTCCCAGGTTTTCCAATGGTTCTCTAACTAATATCAGCTCATGATGAAATCCTGAAATTTAATGATTGTCGGACGCCGGTAGGAATGCCTATGTTCTAGAATCTGTCGGAGGGTGAATATATGATCAATACACCCTCTTCCTGGTCCAAAGCTTGCCTGGCTCCCTCGCGTTTGTGCCTCCCGAGCACCACTTAGTCTACGCATGATTATTGAGCCTAGGACTTTAGATACTATATTAGTTAAGCTTATCCCTCTGTGATTATCACAGGAAGACTTGTCTCCCTTCTTGTATATGGGGACGATCAGTGACTTACACCAACCCGATGGGACTTCTTCTGATTCCCAGACGCTGCCTAGTACCTCAGTTAGTGCAGACAGTAAACTGTTTCCACCGTACTTAAATACCTCTGGAGTCATTCCATCAGGTCCCGCTGCTTTGCCTAGTTTCAGATTGGTGACAGCTTTAGTAACCTCAGTTAAGGATGGAGGACGTGTGTCTATATCCCATTCAGGGAGGTGTTGGATGTTCGGAAGGTTGAGCGTGGCTGTGGGCCAGTTAAACTGCTCCTCATAATGCTCTTTCCAGAGTTCCAGTCGTCTATCCTGGGAGCTAATTATAGTGCCGTTTTTCTCCGAGATTGTTTCACTTATGATTTGACTTCTCCCACCCGTTTCCCTGATGAGTCTGAAGAGTTGCCTGGTGTTGCCTATCGCCGAAGCTTTTTCTATCTCTTTGGCTTTTGTCACCCACCACTGTTCACGGTCCTTGCGGAGACTTTTCGTAAGTTTCCTTTGTGCAGCTTTCGCTCCTCATTGAATTCGGAGCTCGCCGGAATAAGTCTTCTAGCATCTATCAGTTCGGATGAGGCGGTGGAGATCCAGTGGTTTTTACTCACCTTTGGGTTTACCTTATTCACAGCTTTTACAGCTGTATCTATGGCTGCCTGGATATTCTTCCAAGCTTCTTCAGGGTGAGCACAGCTGTCGAACACAGATATGTGTTTAGCTAGTTCTTCCTCAAATAGGGATTTAGTTTCCTGATCGAGCTGGGGACGTGATGGTTTTACCGCCAGCTGTTTCCTACGTCCGTTCAGTCGTAAGCACACACGAGCGCGGACCAGTGCGTGATCGGTATCTACGCACGTGTTCCAGAAGGAGCGACAATCTCCTACCGACCCACGCCAACGATAGCTTATTGCTATGTGGTCTATTTGTGTCCAGCGTTGGTTTGATGAAGGGGGTCTCCAAGTCAAACAGTGTCTCTCCTTGTGTTTGAAGTTAGTGCTTACAAGAAACAAATGATTATCTGAACAGAACTGTAGGAGACGGTCACCGTTGTCGGTTCGCTGGCACGGACTCCATAGGTGCCACCGACATCCTTCTCAGATTGACACAATTTCCCTACTTGAGCGTTAAAGTCACCAGCTAGAACGACTATGTCTGAGCGTTTAGCCTTTCCACCAAACTAGACAGCTTTTGGTAGAACTCATCCTTCGTTTCATCTGAACTGCAGTCAGTGGGGGCGTAGGCGGAGATTACGAAAAGGCATCGGCGAGTAGTGCAGTCCTTTCTCCTTTTTACTGATCCGTTCAGACGGACAGCACACATTCGGCTATCTACCGGGATCCAGTCAAGTAATGTCTTTTCTGCCCTAGTACTCAAAGCTATCCCTACACCAGCTAATCCTCGTGAACTAGCTGTGGCATCTCCTGACACCCTCAAGGTGAATTTTGCAGATTCAACCTGTTGGCCAGGTGGGGTTAGGTGAATAACCACACTTGGGTCTTGTATGCGTGTTTCTGAAACACAGCATACATCAATGGCTCGGGATGCCAGGGTCTTGGCTAGTGATGCTTGTTGTCCTATTTGGCAAAGTGTCCTAACATTAAGAGCTCCTATATGAAATTGGTGGCGTGGCTTTAGGAAACTATCGGTGGTGGTTTTTTGGCTTCCGTCGTTTTTGGTGGACACAGAGTGAAGAGGAAGTGAAGAGCCATCAAGTAGAGGAGTTGCATCAGTGGAACGAAAGCAAGATGATAGAGATGAAGATGACGAAAAAGATGAGTGAGTGTTAGAGAGGCTACGTGTGCATTTCGGATTGTGAGGGCGATTGTTACTTCCCGGCTGCCCACACCGTGGAAGTTGGTTGCGTGACCGCAGAGCCCAGGGGACAACTGCTTGAGGCCGGTCACACGCGGCCTGCTTTTCTTTGTTCGTAATTGTTTTGTGTGTCTCGGTAGCATATTTATCGCTCCTGCCCTGTGACGGCAGCAGGAAGCGCGGTCGTTGTTAATCCGGGCCACGGCCGATCCGGCATGAAATTTTGTGATTTTGTATTTATCATGATGTTGGATTGAGTAGCTGCTTTTTGTTTAACCGCTATCCAAACAACCTTTCCGGTATGGTGGGACCTCAAGAGATATAAGTCTCAGCCAGTATAGCTTGATTAGGTCATTGCGATGTTCGAGCCCGACCACCACGTCAAGGTAGCAGCTTTCGGTCGGGACGTGAACCGAAGGCAAAGCAAAACATTGGAATTGATCAGCCGAAGTATGAATTATATTTCGGGACCAAATCGGAGTACAAGATGATTGCTTAACTAGCTAAGGATCGTGCACAAACGAACGAAAGTAACACGATGGAGTGCCAAATGGCATGGATGCTTGATCAGAAGCCTTCGGCTAAACAAATCAACAAAACAGTGAGGGTCAGCATCTAATGTATAGTGATGAATGATGTGACCAATAATTCTGGGGAATTACCTACTACTACTGTGCACTATGAAGCGTTGATATTAGAAGGTTGGAGGTAAGCGGCCACAGGAAGCCTTCAACCACCTAGGTTCCGTTCTAGTTAGCAATCATCAGTTAGCAGGGCGTATCTGCAACCTTCAACGTAGTCCTAGACTTTAACTCAAAATCTAGAGTTTGAAAGTTGAATACTTAACGCAACGAGTTAAACACGTGTGTAATCAGCACAACTGTGATGTACATATATATGTACTCAATAGCTTACCTTTCAGTTCGTAATTTTTCTTTATCTCCTTAGAATTATTTGATGAAATTGGGATATTTTGATGGTCTGAATTACCGGTACTATGTACTTCTGACTTATTTTTGATTGAATCACTGACTGAAGAAAACCATTCTAAGAATATGTCCCTAGACAAAAGAACAAAGGACAATAAATATTGTGAAGTTGACTCGTTTTGTTTTGTTTAGTTTTAAAACATGGAAGTAAATTAGTTCATATATGAATCAAACCAAGTAAATCTATCATTACTACTAAAACACAAACATAATACAGTATGGGTACACCAAGAGATACGCTACACAAGGGCTGGGATAATACCTTAGTGCCCAGAGAGAAGCGCGTGAGTGACTGTCTTAAGAGGTCACCCACTCTGAGCTATTGACTAGAAGTCTGATCCTCAAGCCATTGGCAGTGAAGAGGTATCAGGAGCTATGTTTTTACGGTTTCCAGCGACTAATTACCTCACAAAAGACTACTCATGAAGTTAGAAAGTCTTGGTATCAAACGCAGATTACTAAACTGGCTCAGGGATCAACTGGAAACTTTCCTCTTAAACGGCAGTACGTAGCGGAAAGCCATAAGTCACGGTACTCGGACCTCTCCTGTTTATTTTGTATGTCAATGAGTTATCTCTGCTCACTGACTCCCCTATGGTCATATACGCAGATGACTTAAAAATTTGGAGAGAACTAAAGGGCAACAGTGATAAGTCCGCGTTGCAAGAGTACCTCAACAAGTTGTTAGAGTGGTCCATAGAATGGATGCTCCCGATAAATGTGGCGAAATGTGCAACCATGCGCATCGGACAAGCAAGCACGAGCTCCTACGAACTAGAGAGAATAACGCTTCCATCAGTTCAGACTCACTTGGACTTAGGTGTCATAGTTAGCCACGACTTAAAAACTACAGCACACTGTTGGGCGGATCCTTATGGGCGAAACGCAGACTCTTTACTAGAATCACCAGAGATACGTTCACCTCCTTATATACATCTGTGGTGAGGTCAAGACTAGAAAACTGTATCCAGCAGCCAGTCCTTGTCTAAAAGGAGACTCACACAATCTAGAAATGGTTCAAAGGTTGGCAACAAGTAGGTTCATGGCATAGCTAGCTTATCATACGAGGAAAGACTAGACAGTTTAAACCTCTTCTCCCTGTCATACCGTAGGCAGAGAGGAGATTTAATCACAATATTTAACATTTTAAATAATGATTACGGACCTGACCAATTCTTCTTTTCCTTCCCATCAGGTCGGAACACCTTAGAGGACAACATGGCAGCATAGTTCAAAAGTCAAGAAGAAATCATATTACTATTGACTACTGGTTCTCACATCGAGTCATAAACTCTTGGAACCGACTCCCAGAAAAAAGTGGTGTTTGCAGCCTCAACTGATTCATTCAAGAAGGGTTTGGACAACCACAGAAATTTACTAGAAAAGGATTAACACAGGCTCCAAGCCTTCTACCCTCAACCAGTAAATCTGAAATCTAAAACAGGCTCATCACACGCCACTCGATCCTTTCAAAATAGCTTTGTAATCACGGCTTTACATGCCCCATCTGGTTAAAAGCACCAGTAAATCTCAGTCGAATACGTACATATGAATAAATTATCGTTTTTTAACAATCTAATAATAACTGCAAATAACTTATGCTGTGATGACCAAAAAAGGATGTAAAACAGAAAAAGTAAAGCATTTCCCTCAGGAGGTTAACATTCCAGATGAACGAGAGAAGGAATAGAAATGGTATTATATTAAGAAGACTATGCCATCTTGCCTTACAGCTTCCGTTGAGAAGAGAACTCTCTCTCTTTCTACAACGTCAAGTGTACCTAATCTCAAGTAAACATTCCCCAGTTTTCTGAGGTTATACAAAAGTAACCTATTTTTCCTTTCAAACACCTCTAGATGTGGGAAGTTGAAAAGTAAGTTATTACTGACAGGACACATTCTTTCCTCATTGTTCACAGCCAACTCTTCTACTTATCAAGATGATACGCCTCATACTTCCTGTGACTGCTTACTCTGCGATCACCAATGTAACTACATACGATTTTCAGTGTACTGAAGCCACACTCTGCCAACCTTCACGTCGTAGATGAAATATTTAAACCCTATTCGAAGTCAGACAAGGAGCCTCAGTAGCCGATTCCCATTATTGGAAGTAAGTTATCCTTGAAATCCATCAAAAATAATCCAAGTGTGGCTATCACAGTCAACTTATTGGTATTAAAAGGTTTGATGATTAGTTCTTGTTAATGCATGGAGGGTAACAACTCCTTAGGATAAGACGATGCCAAATATTCAGCTGCATTTCAGATAACAGTCTTATGAATCCCGCAATCTTAATACAACACCTAATCTGAATCAAAACATAGCATTGTCTTGACGATTTATTTCTAGAAAGAATAATGTATGTCATAAACAGCTTTATAGACTTTATGAGGTACTGTGCTTTGTTGAATGAACTAGTCTCCCAAAGAATTCCGCATTTTTTAAGCCTAAATTGCTGTCACAGAACTTGTCTTGATTGATACTACATTTGTGGAAGGGTACAGAAGCAAATAAAACAGTTCATACCTTAAGTACTTCGTTAGCTACATCAATTCTAATGGATTGGTTGCGAGAATACAAAATTCTCATATAGCATTTAACAGACTACGTTATCTACAACTGAAGATACGCAACTTCGTCTCCAAATAGGATGCATAAGATACCTGTATGTGATATGTCTTGCTCGAGAACTGTGATATATAGTCTATGAACGTGAAATATATCAACACACATGTTCTAAAAGCAATCACCACAGGAAACAGCAGTGTTCTCACCACAACAAGAATATTGACCCTTGAAAGTGCCTGGTCGCCAAAGTATACCACGTAGATCAAAGTTAGGGGTGTGTAAACCACAATAAAACAATCTGTGAAGTCAATGACTGTTGACCAGATCATCAACAGCAACTTAGAGGTAATGGTGGCTCTTGATCGCACATTTACTGCTTATTTAGAAGGTAACATTCTGAAACAGTAAATGGACGCAGCGGACAAAATCAGATAGTTGGAAGTTCATTTTGTTTAGGAAAAGATGTTCTGAACAAAATTACTTCGTAAACCATGTGAGAACTTCAATAACACCCGGCGATAAACTCGTGGACTAACAACGGAATACCCGGATAGTATTAGGAATTAATAACCTCATACTTCGCTTATAGGCGCGCTCCTTGAATAAGACGTGCTTTTCCTCCCTAACCGGAAATATCCAATTTTGTGAATTATTCGTTTGGGAAACCTGATCTTCCTATCCGGCGAATTTTTATTCAACCATTTCTTCCTCACCGAGCCTGTGTGTGGTACTTCCCGCTGTCTCGAACTACTGCCAAAGCTTCAGGTGCTACTTCTGTAGCAACACCCTCCTCACTCTTTCAAATATACAGGACTTGTGGGTCTGTTACGTGATTGCTGTGAAACCGAATAACCCGAAAGTTACAGGTAAAGTCTAAAGCTTTTACTTACATACTTTATCCTTCTTTTCTGCGCTCTCTATTGTCTTTTGCTGTAAGTCTATTGGACAAAATAACAGTCTCTTATTATTTAATCACCAGTATTAATTTAGGAGTAAAATGACAATAGATTCTCAACCTAAAATAAGTAATGGGACATCATACTCTGTAGTTACCAGGGCTTCAGCCAAACTAGGCAAACAGGAGAAGGTGATGGACTCACGCATACCGGTCCTGAAGACCAGGGCTAATATTCCCAGCTCGTACAGATTACCCATGTCGCCACAGTCCTACAGTGAAGCTGTGCAAAGTCAGCCAAGTGGATGTGGCTCCACCCCTGTTAACACGACTAGGTTAACAGATCCGAGTGGGAAAATTGCACTAAGTGAGAACTTCATAACACCCATCCCCATGGTAGACCATGAAACAAATAGGAAGGCCAAAAAGAAACGTTCACGACGTCGCAAGACGACAAGAACGCTCCCCAAGAAGACAGACGACTGCAAGGTCTGTGCTTCTGTTGTCGAACAAGCAGACTCTGCCTTCGAATGTAACTTTTGCAACCGATGGGTGCATTGCAGATGCGACAGTGGGGTACCAAAAGCATATTATGACTTTATGCGTAAAAACCCATGCCAATGGTTCTGGTACATATGCCCGAGTTGCCGTCCTGATGTAGCCTCGCGTAGTCCTTTGAAAACTAAAGATGGCACAGAAGTAGCGGGGAAAAAGGTGAAAAGCTCGACCCCCACCAATCCGGAAGTTAGTACAAACGCGCGTAAACCGGGGATACCAAAATCCTCACCGGTTAAACTTGTAACTCTTGCCATAACCGCTCCAGACACAGAGGCTGGAGAACCACGGGTTTCCGTCGTTGGAAAAAGACCCCAACCGTCTACCAGTAATGCTGGCTATAGCACTGAGACACATAAAAATACCCAGTCGCACCAGTCAAACCAAAACGGTCTTAAAGGTGATCACAAACGTGCGAGGACCGAGCCCAAGCCCACGGTTAGCAGATCAAATTGTGTAATCCTCTTTAATGTACCAGACTGTAGCAGTAGTCTGCTGAAAGATAGGGCCCTATTTGATCAGGAACAGTGGTCCATCTTAAGTAGCACACTGGGTTTGGACATCCAACCAGTAAATCTATGCAGATTGTATAGGGGCACTGCTGCACCTGAAGGCAAACCATCCCCACTGAGGGTAACATTGAGCTCTACCGAGGATGTTGAAAAAGTGTTACTGGCTTCTCAAGTCCTTTCTATAGGGAGGGCCTGTAACATACGTGTTAAGCCAGACAGGCCGTGGAAGGAAAGACAAATGGCGAGGGAGTCGCCAGAGCTCATTCCTTCTGCCTCCATGGTTGTGCATGGCATTCCCGAACTGGTAACTGGGAACGCCTGCGAAAAGCATTGTCATGATGTACAACAATGGAGATGGTTAGCATCCCAGATGGCCCTGGGAAGTTCAGGGGCTGTCTCTATTTATAGACTGCCTCGACCCACTCATCTTATGTCAATTAACTCGCCACGTCTGTTAGCTGTCAAGTTCAGCTCCCAAGACCAGTTGACTACCGCTCTCCATAGATGGTACGAGACCAAGGACAAGGTCAGCAAACACATTCGCTGCTGCGAGAGCCGGCCTCGCACTCAAAGGAGAGAACAAAGCGTAGTAAAAGAAAATCCTCAACCCCTAGTCACACTACAGCGGTGCAGCACGGACGATGATAGCCAGTGTCATCCGAGTGCTCCAACTGAACTAGAAGAAAAAAACGCCAACAGGCCGGTTCCTGGGGAATCGGCCAACTAGTTCGTAGGATAACTCCTCAACCGATAGCCAATATCAAGTCAACTACCCCCCAATACGGGGAAGTGGTGAGACTGACTACCAGTTGCCTGTATAGTAATGTGAGAGGGCTAAGAGGCAAAATAGCTGAACTTAGACACCTACAATCACAACTAAACTCCAAAATCATAATACTGACGGAAACCTGGCTAACCCCTACGGTGGCAGACAGCGAAGTCAGTATAAATGATATGGTCCTAGTCAGGCGAGATAGGGACCTGAAAGAAGGAGGTGGAGTCGCCATATACGTCGACAAACAGCTCAGATGTGTTCACGCGACGGACCCTCCCCTCACAGAGCTCCCTGACTCCATATGGTGCCACTTCACCGTTGGGTACTGCAAATATCTAGTGGGCAGCATTTATCGATCACCTTCATGTGGAGCAGACCATAACCAGGTACTGCTAAATACAATTTCAGCGACTCAAGACATGGGTTATGATCAAATTGTCATAGCTGGTGACTTCAATGCCCCATCTCTTAACTTGGTGTCGGGAAAAGCCCATGATAGATTTGATCGAAATCTGCTGCATACCATCAGGAAGGCTGGATTCACTGAAAATGTCAAGATGGATACTAGATGGGGCCCTGATGGGAAGTCTTCTAGACTGGATTACGTGCTCACTAGTGACCAGCTACTAGTGGAAAACGTTCAGATCACGACTCCCATAGGTAGTAGTGACCACGCGGTCATAGTATTCGACATAGTCCTCCGCGAGCGCTTACAGTGGGACAATACACAGCCCTATCTGTGTTATAACAAAGCCAACTTTACCAAAATGCGAAGACTTCTGTCTGAAGCAAACTGGCCTAAAAAATGGACAGAGCTAACAGTAGAAGAACACTGGAGAGTGGTAAAGGAGATCATTCACCAGGCGGTCTCAGACACTGTTCCTTTAGTCTCACCAAAAGCTAGGAAGCAACGATCATGGCTGAAAAGGGGACACAACGCCTTCTGCAGGCAAAGCGTAAAGCCTGGTTCGCGTGGCGACGATCGAAGAGTCAACCCGAATATGAAGTGTACCTTGAACTCAGGAATCGATGTAACATACGAGTCCGGAGCGATAGAAGGACATTTCAGGGAGACCTCGCCAATAAGCTTCTCGTGAACCCCAAAAGCCTATACAGGTTTATGGCCGAAAGAAAACCGACCAACCAGGGAGCATGCAATCTAGTGGGTTCTGATGGGAAATCTCTTACTAGTCTTGAAATGGCAGAGACATTCAGCCTAGCCTTTCACAGGCAACTAAATAGTAACGAGGATATTACCCCTACAGAACATCCAGATTACATCGCAGAACCAACACACGAAAACCTGCTGGGGACATTTCAAATTACCCCGGCTATGGTACTTGCAAAATTGGGAAGGTTGGCTTCGGGAAAGTCTCCAGGTTGTGATGGCATCAGACCATCTGTCCTGAAGCAGTGTTCAGAAAGTCTCTGTCAACCCCTAAGTGATCTGTTCCAACACTCCCTTGATGTAGGGAAACTTCCATGTGAATGGAAACGTGCAATCCTATCCCCTATCTTCAAGGGTGGTGACCGGCAGAATGTGACCAGTTACAGACCAGTTGCTCTACTTCCAGTGGTATCGAAGATATTGGAAAGTCTCATTGACGACCACATGAGAAAATACTTCGATGGGACTAACCTTCTTCACGAAGCACAGCACGGTTTCAGGAGGGGAAGATCCTGCGTGACGAATCTTCTACTAGCCTGGAACGATTGGACACTATCCTGGGACAAAAAGGTACCAGCCCACGTGATCTTTCTCGACTTTGCGAAAGCATTCGACACAGTTCACCATGGTCTGCTCCTTCACAAAATAGGCAAGGCGGGAGTTTCTGGAGCACTTCTCGCATGGCTGACAGATTACTTAGGCGAGAGAGAATTCTGCACCAAAGTCAACCGCATCCGATCATCTTGGCACACCTCGGCATCAGGGGTTCCTCAGGGTTCTATCCTAGGGCCGTTGATGTTTTTGATTTTTATCAATGACCTGCCCCCCCAACTAAACTGCTCTGCGCTTCTTTACGCTGACGACGTAAAGATTTGGAGAGCAATAAACTCATCGGAAGACTCAGATAGATTGCAGGCTGACCTGCAAACTCTGGGAAATTGGGCTTTGGCTAACGGAATGCCTTTCAATCTAAAGAAGTGCAAAGTAGTGCAGCTTCATTCCGGCAGGTCACAGAGTGTAAATTACACCCTTGGTGGCCAGAACTTGAGTTGTGTTCCATCAGAGCGTGATCTAGGTCTTATTCTAACAGAAAAGCTAGACACCAGTGGAAATTACTCGAGGGACGTCGCCAAAGCCTACGCAACATTACACTTTATGCACAGGCAGCTGGGAGCTCTCACTCCCGAACTGTTCTTAAGGCTATACAAGGCATATGTGAGGCCACACCTTGAGGTGCATAATATCATTGCACCTCCGCTACTCAAAAGGGATGCTAACATTCTAGAAAGTGTCCAGAGACGAGCGACAAAATGGGTGATCGGCCTCCGCAACAAATCATATGAGGAAAGACTAAAGAAATTAGGTCTTTTCACACTCAGTTACCGTAGGCACAGGGGAGACCTCATCACCGTCTACAAGATCCTAAATGACCAGGCCCACCCAAATAAAAGCATCCTGCCATTAAGCGATTATAGGCTTCCACGAGGTAACCCGCTAAGGATAGCACACCAGAGACCAAAGACTCGAGTGCGATCACATTTCTTTTCGCTTCGTGTTTGCCGTCTCTGGAACGCTTTACCGGCGGCCGTGACTACAGCGCCATCTGTGGAGATTTTTAAGCGGAAGCTAGACAATCATGCAGAAATGCAAGGTTTGTGTCTCAATGGCTTATCCTCATAAAATTTGAAACCAAACTGTCAATGAATAAGCGTACTAACTAAATCCCCACGACCTATTCTGCCTTCTCTCACTCTATCTTTTCCTTATGTCACCTTTATTATTCCACTTATCTCAACCTATATTATCTACACTACAACCTATTATTATTATTATTACTATTCTGCTTTTATGACTACACCGAATGACCAGGGGAGTTAGGTCAAACTCCATTCACGGCAGCAATACAGTCCTAACATACTGCATACTACAAACCACATCTCGACCAATCCCCGCACCACTCCTCCTGGAGTCTACCAGAGCTAAAGCAGTCGAGTGTCGGGACTTACTACGCAGAAGCTCACCGAAGATCTGGAACCTCTACCTCACAATCAAGAAGCGAGCTCAAAGAAATCACTGGTTTATACTAGCTCGTCATCAGGATATTGGATACTTCGCGACATGGCCAAAAGAACCGGCTACAAACATACTTTTGAAAGCTTAAGGAATTTAAAAATGACCGTCAGACTTCCGTCTTGTTTATTTTTATTTCATTCGTCCAAACACCTTTTCAGTATTTTTCGGTTTCACTAGTAACCTTACTGTGTCAAATTCTGTAGTGAAGTCTGTCTCATTCTCAAAATCTTTACAATCACTGAACTATTGAAGCTGTTGGATTTATGCTTAACACTTTTCAAAAACTAAGGCCTAATTTTAGAGCTTAGTCATGATGGCAACTACGATATAATTGCAAATTAATCACATAAAGTTATTTCAGGAGCTATTACTGAACATTCAGTGAGTAAGGTTGGACACAATGGACTGTATTTAGGTAGCTCAAGGAATTCACGGTGATCTAGTGTGGTAATAAGATTATATGTACAGCAAATATCCTCTCAGTGTTCCACAAATTACCAGTTAACGATTTACATTGGGTGGGGCAAAAATTACCAATAAACACCTAACAAATATTCGTATCTTAAACATGAAAACAGCTCACTTGGGTATCTCATTAAGTTGAGGAATGTAAGCACCACACATACTGAGGAATTCTAGTTCGTCAAGCTCATCATAATCACAGCTTTCTACAATACCTTCCAAGTAGGTGATTATCTCTTCATCAAACCTGAGAAAAATAGACTTTGAGTGAATACTTTTTACTGGTAACTAGAGTTCTTCACGTGCATTGACAGGAATTTAGTTAGACTTGACTTCAGATCCATCTTCAAGATGTGAAGCTGTAGAATATATAGGGGTTAAAGTTTTAGAGCTAGTAAGCAATTCATAAAAGGTAGTTTATTCGTCTATTATTTATTAAAATAAAATACACTTAAGAACTGAAACAAGACAAATCTCGAAATTTCACTCAATCACGCTTTTTTTCGGTTGATACATATTACTAAGAATAGCTTGTCTCTTTAAAACTTCTAGCAAATCTTCATTTTTCTTCAATTCTGCTTCTAATACACCTTGGTCCTTGATTTCACCAAGTTTCTTGAAAGTTCTGTCTATTTTTCGTATAAAATACGAACGGATGTTATAGTCAGTAAACTTCTGAGCCTCTTTTAAGAGCTTTGAGGATAAACTTTGCATGCGAAGTTGGATGGACGCCATCAACTATAGTAACAAATAACCTCAGAGTAAAAGTAAACAATTTACATACGCGCCGCCAGTTGCAACAAGAAATATTAACCCTTACTTTATAGAACAATTGGGCAATGGCCTTGAGGCTTTCGTCCAATGTTCAATCTCATGGATTTATTGGTGAGGTTCATTATTCATCTCTTGGCGTTCGCTTTCTGACATTATGACATTGCTTCGAATCATGGTGTGATAAATCAATCTCGTTTCCTGCTGTAGATTTGCTAAATGAAGGGAGTAGACGAATGCCTGTTTATTTTCCATGGAATATATAATAATAATGATTTACTTTATCCCAAAAACAGTACTTGTGATAAAGAATGGAATTTTCAGCATTAATCACAATATTGCATCTAATTTCCTCAAATTATAAATAATAATTAATCACACAGAAAATTTTCCACATTTACAATAGAGGTAGTGTCAAAACCATGCAGCATATAAAATGGAAATAATAACAATCATGACAACAGCTACGGTAATAATAGTAATACAAATGAAAATTACTGTGTTTCACATTTGTTTCACACAGTATTGGTAATGTGGTATAGAAATCCTAGCATGTTTAAAAATATTGAATATAGTGTTCTCTTTACATGATATGGTGAGGGGAAGAACAAAGATTACAGCCGTCATGGAGATAAGTTGGTGTTTGCAATTATGAGAGTAAAACAGAGAAGTAACAGGACCATAAATATAATAGAAGTAATAAAAGTAAAACTTGAAGGTATATAAGGATGGATGGATGGAGGAAATTGTTTATTTACTAGATGAAAAAAGGTTACTCAATTCTTGCCTGACACTATTTTTATCACATAAAATACGTGCCAAGTATGGTATCATAGAACTTTTATACTTAGACGTGCGAGCATACAGTTTTCTGAAGTTACTCCTTGTTCTACCTGAGGAGATGCAAGATGAAAGCTGAGGGTAAAGTGGATGCTCCAAGTCAGACAAAGTCCCTTTAGCAAATTTATTGCACGAAGTCAAGTGCCTATCGACAACGACGTTAACTATGTGGTCCACTGGGACACCACTCACCCTACTGACAGTCTTCAGCATTCTACGAGCAAACCAGGAAAGAATAAGGGTGAACAATAAAGAAGAATAGGTAGGATGCAAGAGTTTATGAACTGTAAGAGGAGGGGTTGGTTGAGTTATACCCGAGTGCCTTAATTTCTTAATGTAAAATGTCAGGTGGAATATTTTGCTGGAGATCGCTAAGACTTGGGAAGAGCAGGAGAGATCAGAAGAGAGAATAAGTTCAAGAAACCTAATTTCTGATTTAATTCCTATATCATTGTCGTCAATCCTAAAACTGTCATGAGAATCGATGACTTCTTTTAACTGTATTTTACATCTTAAGCTGAAATTAACAGTTTGACATTTAGAAGGATTCAGTTTAAGACCGTTAGACTCAGACCATTTGCTGACTTTCGATAGAAAGCTATTTATTTTAGTACAATCCAGCTGGGAGTTAACAGCCATTGAAACCGTTAAATCATCAGCGTACTTCACAAAGTTTATTTCAGCAGAGTGAGGCAAGTTATGCAAGAAGAAAGAAAAAAGAAAAGGAGAAGGGACAGCTCCTTGAGGGACACCAGCTTCAGTAGGCAATGAAGTGGAAGACTTCCCTTTATACACGGTGTACCGCTTTCTTTCTGAGAAATAAGAATTTAACCAGTTAACAGCCCAACATTCTGTCTGACTAGCAGCAAGTTTATTTAATAAGATGTCCCTGGGGACCGAGTCAAAAGCAGATGTATAGTCTAGGAAGGCACAACGAAAAAATGTAGCCCCCTTGTCTAGACTGGGAGCAATGTAATGATATAAGACGGCAGCTGCATCTAAATTGCTTCTACTGTGCTTATAGGCAAATTGTTTAGGGTCATTAAAGGATTTATGTGTAGGTACAAGACTAAGTAAGAGTAATTTCTCCATAGTTTTCAAAAAAGGAGACGTAATAGCAATGGGTCTAAATTTGACACATGCTCCAGTAGAAGATTTAGGTATGGGTACAACTTTAATGTCCTTCCAAACGGCAGGCACAATATTATCGGAAAAAGATTTGTTAAATAGATCAGTAAGAGAGTGACACAGAATATCAGAACATTAAAAAAAATAATACTAGATACATAATCTGGACCTAGGCTCTGGGAAGGGTTTAGAGACTTGAGGCACTTTTGAACATCATTTGTGTTAAAACCTGGAAAGGGGCTATTATTAACACGAGTGATGCTGGGAAGCATGGCATTTGAGGGAGAGCAAATAAAAGATTTATTAAGAGTACATACATCAAAAGAATATGGAATATTGTTTATCTGCTTACCACCAGTGATTTCCTTAAATAGTTTCCACATATTAGAAGGATTTTTGCAGGATATGAATTTCTGGTTATATATTACATTCAACCTCTGCATTTCAGAATTAATCAAGAAGTTAGTTCTTTTTACACCACTTTTATCTTTCATCTTATATAGTTTTTCCTTCTCTCTACGAAGCTTTTTAAGTTGAGGAGAGGAGAAACGGTCAAATTTGACGAATAGTGTTTTTTTATACAGCAAATTTCAAAACAGAATTTCAGATAGGATGTAATATTAGAGATATTGTCATCAAGTGAATCATCATTAAACGGATCCCATCTTGTGTCACTGAGCATGTTTCTAAGATGATGTACGTTCTCATTTGAGTAACATCTGTGAACAACTTTCTTAGACAAGTTAGAGAAAGTTTTACTGTGTAACTTTCCGTAAATTTTGGGTAAGACTCGCACAATGCAGTAATCAGAATTGAAGAGCGGAGCTCTTTTACGAGCTTCGTATATTCCAGAATCATTTATAAATACAAAATCAAGTGAGGTATTTTGTCGAGTTGGGAAATAACCAACATTTTCATGGCCCAGCAATGTAATAAAACTGCAGTCGCTGGAGTTGAAGTAGACAGTCGCTATAGATAAGGAGTTACCAAACGAAGCAGCAGCAAAAATAGTGAATTCTTCAGAGAAGATCGATAGTTCTATGCGACTGCAACAAGGTGTGATATAGATATTTGTGACAAAAATTAAACCACAATTAAGTAAGAGTTTAGGTCGAAATTTGAAGGTTATACAATCAATATTCTATTTAAAATAAAATATGTGGATGATGGTTAGCCTCCTTCGATGATGATAAGACTGCAGCTAAATTTGCAACAAGCATTACTGAGGTGTTAGCTAAGGCTGGCTTTCGTCTAACCAAGTGGGTCTCGAACGGCCTAGACGTTTTGAAGCATATAGTTCCAGAAGACAGAGCACCTACTGTACGAGATTTACCTGTTGATACTCTACCAGTTGAACGCACACTAGGTATGCGATGGGATGTGAACTCTGATACCTTGGGATTTAGTGTTGGTGATATTGATAAATCAGTTACACGGAGAGGTGTGCTCTCTGTGTTGTCGTCAGTGTTTGACCCACTTGGATTAGTAGCACCTTATCTACTTCCCGCTAGGAAGTTATTTCAAGAGACATGCAGGAAAGGGTTACAGTGGGATGAACCATTAAGTGAGAGGCAGAGAGAAGAGTGCAAGCGGTTGGTTAACAGTTTAAAAACGCTGAATCTATATTCCGTCTCACGGTCACTTAAGACATCGAGAAATCGTGATATAATTGACTCCCATGTTGTCAGAGAATTCTCGCAAACCGTTAATGCCCAGCTCTTGCTGCACTCGGGCTCACGCTGTTCCTTGAAGTTTCTCAGAAACGCTTAGTAATAACGGACGCAAAAACAAAAACACCAATAGGCGACTCGAGGATACTTTATTGTAACACCAAAATAAAAACAATGTTACAACTAAGATCTGTGAACAAATATTACAATAATGAATCACAATATTACTTCTGACAGTTGTCTCCTGACTTCTTTCTGAACAGCGACCGATGAGACGATGACTGGCTGATTGATGCCTCCGCGAAAATTGGGGAAGCTGGTTTTGAGCGAACAACAATGAATTGATTGTTCAATCTTCAACTATATTCACATGTTTTTTCTGATGCTTCTTAGGTTGGACTTGGTGCAGCCGTATACATCGGAACCACCTTAAGGAATGATATAGATGTTAGCCTAGTGATGGGTAAATCTAGAGTTGCACCTCTAAAGACGGTTTCGATTCCGAGATTAGGACTTACTGCAGCCTTGCTAGCTGCGCAGTTATTCACAGGGGTGTGTAAAGAGTTGGATTATCTCAAGTAACCTGTAACGTTTTGGACTGATTCGATGTCTGTGATATATTATATACGCAACGAGTCAACAAGATATGCATGTTTTGTAGCTAACAGAGTATCTCAAATTCGTGAACTAACAACTGTTGAGCAGTGGAGGTACGTACAGTCTGGAAAAAATCCAGCTGATCTAGCCTCGCGAGGAGTTATTGATATGAATGTGGTTAAAAATAAGTGGTGGAAAGGTCCAGAGTTCTTGCTAAGGGCTGATAGTATGTGGCCTCGTAGAGAAGATGAACCACCGATAAACGAGTGTGCCTTGGAGTTGAAGACAAGTGTCAGTTTAACATCTACTCAAGAAAGACATTCAGGTTTACATCCACTTTTTAAATATTATTCTTCTTGGTACAAATTACTGAAAGCTGTGGCGCGGTTGACACGATATGTTACGTATTTAAAGGTCATGCATCTTGCAGGATACGGAAATATGAATGTAAGACCTTTGAGGGACGAAGATATTAGAAATGCGGAGTTAGCGATTTTGAGGGCTGCTCAGTGGGAAGCGTGAGGTGAGATTGCCAAGGGGTATAGTCCTGACTTCGCAGATTTCAAGGCGTGGTTAGATGGATTATCTCCGGTAGTTTCCGAAGGGATCGCTAGAGTTGGTGGACGTCTACAAATGTTAGAATCGCCTTATGACACCACTCATCCGGCTTTATCACCTTGCTACCATCCAGTCACTGATCTCATTATAAGACACTACCATGTTCTTGAAGGTCATTTGGGTTCTTCACAAGTACCATCAAGTATTCGATGTAAGTTCTGGATAGTGAAGGAAGGTACTGCTGTCCGTAAAATAATTGATAAGTGTATGGAATGTAAACTACGAAATACTCGTTCA